TGCCTAATTCTGCCTGGGAGATCAATAAGTTGAACCAAATGCTGTTTGACCCAAGTCTTACAGGTGAGCACTTTTAGCCAGATCAAGGAATGAAGGAAAAGAACTAGACTTAGGGGTACCAGCATGCTGAGAGGTACGGGGGTATGGGCTAACCTGGTAGGAGGGAAACTGGAAGCAATTTAGGATGGCTAGAACAGTGACGAAAGCAGGAAATATGTTTTAGAAAGACCACAACTTACAAGGAATCTGTACTTCTTACAAAATAGCCAGTCAATGAAAAAAGGTAACATTTGTTTTTATTCAACGTTTATTTATTTTTGGGACAGAGAGAGACAGAGCATGAACGGGGGAGGGGCAGAGAGAGAGGGAGACACAGAATCGGAAACAGGCTCCAGGCTCTGAGCCATCAGCCCAGAGCCTGACGCGGGGCTCAAACTCACGGACCGCGAGATCGTGACCTGGCTGAAGTCGGACGCTTAACCGACTGCGCCACCCAGGCGCCCCAACATTTGTTTTTAAAAGGTCACTTTCAGGGGCACCTGGGTGGCTCAATCAGTTGCTCAACGACTCCTGATCTCAGCTCATGTCATGATTCCAGGGTCGTGGGATCGAGACGCTCATCGGGCTCAGTGCTAGGTGTGGAGCCTGACTGGAATTCTCTCTCCGCCCCCTCTCCCTTGCCCCTCTCACCTGCTCAAGCTCTCTGAAAATTAAAAACAAAAAAACAAAAAACTAATTTTAAAAAGGCCAATTTCATAATCTAGTGGAAATATTAGAGAATGAGCCTTGGAGGATCAGTTGAGGTTTGATACAATGCAAGTTGAGAAATGAAGCTTCACCAAGGTAGTGGCAAAGACACATGAGATATTTCTGAGGTAGAATCAGTGAGATTTCGTGATGGAATGGATGTGTGGTGTTAGGAAGAGAAAACTCATGAAAGCTCTTTGGTGTTTTAAAAAGAAACTTTTCCATCAAATCCATGGATTCACCATCCTTTTCCAGATTCGTGGTGCCCTTAATGCAATCAAAGGCTTGATTCCTGCCACCTCAGAAGAGAAGCCCAAAGCTGTGGTTACTCACAGCAGTGGAAACCATGGCCAGGCTCTTGCTTATGCTGCCAAATTGGAAGGTATTTGATTAACTTCTCAGGGTACTGGGTAGGATCATCAGATAAGAGTGGAAAAGTATTCTTACTCCCAGTGAGACTGGTGATAATTGTGGGAAGGATATTTCCAAGTTCCTATCTGATTATATAAGCAAACTGACAGAAGTTTCTATTCTAAATTCTGATTTGTACTAACTACACATGGTTCTCTCTCCCAGGGATTCCTGCTTACATTGTGGTGCCCCAAACAGCTCCCAACTGTAAAAAATTGGCAATACAAGCCTATGGAGCCTCCATAGTATACAGTGAACACAGTGATGAGGTAAAGAAGAGGGCAGTGCTCAGTGTCACCTTGACTGTCAAATGAAACTTCTCATCCTAGCTTACTGGCTATTCTGTCTCCTATGTTTCCTCTTCATCTCTCAATGTTAACATGCCCAACTTTTTCTCTATACTCACTCAGGTGACATCATTAATCTACGAGTTTAAAATATCACTTATACTCTTAACTCCAGTCCTGATCTTTGCCCTTAACCCAGACTTGTATATCCAACAATTACCTGATATTCCCACTCGGAATGTCTTAATAGGCATCTCAAATGTACTCTAAAACCAAACTCCTGGGGAAGCTGGGTGGCTCAGTCAGTTAAGTGTCTGACTCTTGATTTCGTCTCAAGTGATCTTGCGGTTCATGAGTTTGACCCCTGCTCTGTGCTGACAGCGAGGAGCCTGCTTGGGATTCTTTGTCTCCCGTCTCCCTCTCTCTGTCCCTCCCCTGTTCGCTCTCTCTCTCTCAAAAATAAACATTAAAAAAAAAAAAAAAAATTCCTGAACTTCCTCCCCAAAACTGCTCCTCTTCCAGTCTTCTCTATCTCAATAAATGACAACTTGTATCCTTCTAGGTGTTCAAAGTAAATGAAGTCATCTTTGAGAACTCTCCCACACCCTACATCCAAATCTTAGTCCTACTTTCAAATCATTTCCATTATCCAACTACTTCTAACAGCCTCTACCATCAACACCCTGATTCAAACCAACATCAGTTCTCAACTAGATACAGTATCCTAACTGGTTTCTCTACTTCTTCCACCCTTGCCCCACTAGTCTGTTTTCTAGAGACCAAGCAGAACTATCCATTTAATAAGTTAGAACTTGTCTCTTGTCAGCTGAAAATCCTCCAGTGGTTTCTCTCACACACAGTAGTAACCAAAATTCACACAATTATCTAACACCTGGATGAAATGGCCCATTCCAATCATATCTGACATCATCTCCCACTATTACTGTCCCCCAAACACTCCACACCAACCAAACTAACTTATTAGCCTTTTCTCAGAAAGGCCAAGCACTTCTGTTTTGTAGTCTTTGCACTTGCGATTACTCTCTTCCTGGAATATTCTGGAGATTCACAAGACTTGTTCAAACCTATTAAAATGTCACATGACCAGAGGCCCTTCCTGAGCACCCTATCGAAAACAAACTTACTTTTCTCCATAGCAGTTAGACATACCATATATTTACTTATATGCACCCCTTCCCACCATATTGGAACATAAATCCACTGAGCACAATGATCATTTTGTTCACGGTTATATCCCCAGTGCCCAAAAATAGTCTGAAATAAGGATGGCCAATAAAATGTTAAATGACTGAATCTAACTTGTTGGGAACTCTATTCAGTATAAATGGAGTGAGCTACATTAATGTACTCTTTCAGTCCAGAGAAAATGTTACAAGAAGAATTTTGGAAGAAACAGAAGGCATCATGGTACATCCCAACCAGGAGCCTGCAGTGATAGCTGGGCAAGGGACGATTGCCATGGAAGTGCTAAACCAGGTGAGAGCTGTTAATTCTTGTTTAACCACTGGTAAAGCTGATATCTGGCTGTAGTCTATTTTACATATATATAAAACTGGTTATTGATAGACCTATTTATACTTTACGTTCTTTTCACTAAAGATACCCTTGATAGATGCACTGGTGGTTCCTGTAGGAGGAGGAGGAATGGTTGCTGGAATAGCAATTACAGTTAAGGTAAGAAAACAGCTTCTGGGGGTGCCTCGGTGCTCAGTTGGTTCAACATCCAACTTCCGCTCAGGTCATGATCTCACAGTTCATGAGTTTGAACCCCACACTGGGCTCTATGCTGACAGTTTAGAGCCTGGAGTCTGCTTCAGATTCTGTGTCTCCCTCTCCCACTGCCCTCCCTGCTCATGCTCTGTCTCTGTCTCTCAAAAATAAATAAACCCTAAAAAAAAAAAAAGAAAGAAAAATAGCTTCAAAAAAAAAAAAAGAAAGAAAGAAAATAGCTTCTGGAGGACTCCCCACTTCAGGCATAGCAAATTTTATTTTACATCATACTACACTATGGATACTTGGTTCAACATTCCTCCCAATTGCTATTCCTTCCCATCATCCCTTGGCACTTGAAATGGAAGGCTCTTCTCTGCCTCACTACCTTGTTCTTAGTCCATAACAACTGGACAGCACAAAAGCAGTTACAATGAGTGACACCCTCATAGTTCTTTCCCTGAATTCCACCTCAACAACCCACTATCCAGGGGCTACTCTTTCCCCAAGTTATCAATGGAACCAGATATGATCTAAGCAACTTAAGGCCAGTATTAGGGATACAATTTAAAATGCTTAAAGGTCTATTTTCATTACATCAATCAAAGGAAAGGCTCTTACTTAACAGAAATGTGTTACCTATGTTGCCTATTTTACTGCACGCATGCAAAGCAAAATGCTGTGGCTAGTTGTAAAATATCTAATATTCCTCTTCCCAGGCTCTGAGACCTAGCGTGAAGGTATATGCTGCTGAACCCTTGAATGCAGATGACTGCTACCAGTCCAAGCTGAAAGGGGAACTGACCCCCAATCCCTATCCTCCAGAAACCATAGCAGATGGTGTCAAATCCAGCATTGGCTTAAACACCTGGCCTATTATAAGGGACCTCGTGGATGATGTCTTCACGGTCACAGAGGATGAAATTAAGGTGAGGCTCCAATAGAAAAGGAAAATATAAAACAATGGATCAACTTCTTAGGCAAAAGAATCTTCTGTTTTAAGTAGAAACTGACTCCCTGGGGACTTGACTAGATGACTTCATGACATGTAGGAGGGTGCCCCAGATGTACTAGACAATCCTCTCAACAGAAGCAGAGTAAGGATGGGAAAAAAGCCCTGCCCTTCCCTGGCAAGCATATACATATGGCCAAGAAGAAAATTCAGACTGGGCATATAACCCCATCTGGCCTTTAACTGTAAAGGCCAACCAACGAGGCTCTTTCTCCTTCTCCCATTTCACTAATTCTTACTCCTTTTCATACCAACAGTATGCAACCCAGCTGGTGTGGGAGAGGATGAAACTGCTTATTGAACCTACAGCTGGTGTTGGAGTGGCCGCTGTGCTGTCTCAGCATTTTCAAACAGTTTCCCCAGAAGTGAAGAACATTTGTATTGTACTCAGTGGCGGAAATGTAGACTTAACCTCCCTAACTTGGGTGAAGCAGGCTGAAAGGCCAGCTCCTTATCAATCTGTTTCTGTTTAGTTTATGCAAAAGAGATGGGATTCAGTGTCTTGAGATACTTGGAAATTTTGTTTCTTGGTTACTTTAACTTCCTATCTTCCCCTCTTAAACAGCTTTCAAAATCCTACTGGAAAGTGGATGTTTCAGTAATAGTTTTGTTTTGTTTACTAAGTAAGTAGCAAGAGAAAAACATCCATAGTTTACTGAGACAACTTATCAGGGCCAAGAAAAGCCTTTTGCCAAAACTGGCAGCAGACCTCTAGGCTAAAGTAGAAAACAAACTTTGTCCAATTACAACCTGTAGGATCCCATCCCTAGAGTGCTAACTAGCAGCAATGAGACAGAATCCCAGTGAATCCATTACTCCATATCCACCTCAGGCACTGTTGAAGAGATCTCACTTTTCATCCATGGTACTGGTTCTGGTACATATGGATCATAAGTCCATTTGGGGAAAACTCGTTTATAGAGGTTCATCAGTACTGTGTCCTGAGATTTTAGCTTCCCATCAAAACTGCACTTCATGTGGCCATGAGTACCTAGAAAGAAAACAGAGCAAGTTGGTCAAATTAAAATAGAAAACGTTAAAGCAGTAGTCTTCTAACCCAACAGTCATTTAGTAGCACTGGAGAAACCTAGACAAGGTACCAAATCCCACATTCTCTTACCTAAAGGCTCCTTGATGTGTCCCCTGCGGCCCCACTTTGTTCTCAGTTCCACTGGTTTAAACCACAACACATCCTCTTAGAAAGAAACAAAGAGAAGACCAAGATGAAACATGTACCCACAAAGGGTAAACTCAACCCTCACCCCACAAAGGCAATCTGATCCCATCCTTCACACCCACCTCTGTTGAAGAACATGTAGCGCACTACTGCCATCTTAGTAAAAATTTTGAAAGGATGACCACTCAAAACAACTCTCTTGATGACCATTCTGTCTGGATCCACTGACAACAGATGGCCTGTGGCAATGAGGCTGTGCATTCCTATGCAGCAAAAGCAGAGCAACAGGAGTCTACAAGCCAAAGCCTTCACTGATTGCCCCCGTCCACTTAAAGACCCAAACAAGATCTTTTTAGAGAAACCTTAAAGTAAGGATATATTATGCTGCCCTCCTGGGTCCATGCAAAGATCATTAAATGATATTCCCTCTACGCCTGTTGTGAGAACCTATCCTAAATACAGCAGTCTGAGCAGCACCTATCAACTGGCTATGGTTTATAAGCAAGATAAAGTTCCGTTTGTCATCCTTGTCTCAGACCCAGTCTGAGGCTGAGATTGGGATATTTTGAAAACTATTATTACGTTCTTCATACCATATGACTCTCAAATCTAAATACAGGAAATAGTTTTAAACCTATTGGGGCGCCTGGGTGGCGCAGTCGGTTAAGCGTCCGACTTCAGCCAGGTCACGATCTCGCGGTCCGTGAGTTCGAGCCCCGCGTCAGGCTCTGGGCTGATGGCTCAGAGCCTGGAGCCTGTTTCCGATTCTGTGTCTCCCTCTCTCTCTGCCCCTCCCCTGTTCATGCTCTGTCTCTCTCTGTCCCAAAAATAAAATAAAACGTTGAAAAAAAAAAAAAAAATTTTAAAAAACCTATTAAGGACCTACAGGTCTGTTCACCTCTGTGAACTTAACTTACCATTGCTATTCTGTTTAAAAAGCAGTACAGATGCAGGAGGAAACGTGATTGGGCCATATACTGTCGCTACCAAGGCCACATCAGCAGTCAGGAATCTCTGAAATTTATGTTTATCCGCTGTGATAATAAGGGTTAAAAAATAAAAAGTAAAAACATTTTGAGAAGCCATAGGTAATCCAGAAGCCTGTGAAAAGCTGTATCATTGCAACTCAAATCTAAGGCAACTTATGTTTCTTTGCCCCACTAGTTCTCAAAATATTTTCCTACTTCAATACAACTGTGAGATACAACTCAGTCCTTCACAGTGATTTTTCAACAGGGAGGCAGAATCTTGGAGCTTGGACTATATTTGGGGTTTGAAAAAGTTCTCCAGGTGATTCTGACACTCATTATCCCTACCTTGTTTAGGAAGCAATGCTTTACAGAAAACACCTCCACTAAATCAAAAGCCTGTAGTCATGAGCAAGAATTGGCAAATATTTTCTATAAAGGGCAAGATAGTATTTTAGGCCTGTGGCCATACAGTCTTTCTGTTCCAACTACTACTCAGCTATGCCACTATAGCAAAAAAGCAGCCACAGACAACACATGAGAAAAAAAGGGGGAAAAAAGAAGGAAAAAAAAAACCCCAACAACCCACAACTGTGTTCCAACAAAATTTTATTTAACAAAAACAAGCAGTGGGGCAGATCTGGCCTAAGGGCCATACTTAGCTGATCTCTGATCTTGAGGACTACCTGAGCTTCTGCTTTTATCTTCAATGCAACTCTCCCTCCTGCTTAATACTGAATTTACAGAGAAATAAAATATTTTAAGGGAAAGAGAAGATAATTCCTCATTTAGATAGCATAGCTGATTAACATATGGCTAGTAAGAACAGAAATTATCCAGAGTACCCATTAATACTGCCTTCATCATCTTCCTCCAGCCACTGCTGAAAGCTGAGTGTGTGTGGTAATGTTCAGAAGCCTCCAAATATCTTCCCACTCCTAATGTATAGGAGTCCAATCATTTTTGCCATAAAAGTGTCCCTGGTCACCACTCTTCAACATCTTATCCCAACATCTCAGAAGCCACATACTTGTTTTACCCAACTGTGGGCCACCCCTATCCTTCACCCACACTGCCACCGGCCATCAGATGCCAAGGGTTCTACACTTTGTGACACCATTTTATAGAGCCACCAACTCCCATTCAAAACCACTTTGGAACAAATACTCATGGCAGAGAAGCCTCAGCACCACACAGAGGTTGCATCACTGGGATGCTTCAGACAGGTTCAGACATCGTGAATAAAAACATCATTGGCTCCTAGACCAGAGTAGTGAAAATACCCTTAACCCAGAAACCCAGAGTTTGAAATTGTGTATTCTACACACCCGCACTAAAAATCAATAGTCCCCCCAAAAGACATTAAGATGGACAAGAACCCAGAATCTTTCCCACTGCTTTACCTGCAGTGTGCTGAGAGAACAAAGGTGAGGCTCGGAAGCGCCTGAACCCACAGTGGAAGATCAGCTCCTCCTTAGCTTTCACAGGCTCAGTGTTGCCAGGGTGCCGGCTCACCACCATATTCAGTACTGACATCTGGGAACCACATAAGAAAAACAGACCTTCCTATCTGGAATAGAGCAGCCTAAACTGAAAGAAGACAAACTAAACTAGCAGATCCAAATTCGCTCTAATACTCATTTACAGTAAATAAGATTTACCTTTTACCTTTACCAACAACTGGCATTCAAGTTACATATAGGCTGGTTTTTGGGGCTTTCACGCAGCCTTCTGTGTTAGCTAACCTTCCCGTGTCTAACAATGCAGAAGCTCAACATCTGCCACAAATGCAGTGCCTTCAAGTCACTCAACTCACCACACACCTCAAAACTACTCATTCAGGACAGTTACCTCCCAAACTCTTCCACTGACCAAAGGCCAGAGCTCTCGCATACACGCAATACACACGAGTACTGGCCATCAAGAAAGAGACCTACGCGTGGCCCAACCACTCCTTCCCGCACCCCCCCCCACCCCCCACTTAAGGCTGCCAACCCTTGGTTTAAAATCTAATCTGACAGAGAAGTCTCAGAACTCAGAGTGCATCACTGAGATGCTTCAGACAGGTTCAGACATGTTGTGTAACTCCATCATTGACTTCACCATCATATTCTCTGATTCTTCATCCAAAGGCAGATTGTTTACATCCCAATGAGTAAAATGTCGGTCACATAAAATTTCAGACTATCATACAAAACTGGTTGGAAAGTTTCTCAAGTCCCCATTTCCCACAAAATACTAACTCACCTTCTGTTCATGAGGTAGTAAAGAAAATACAATCAAGGGTGCCCCTCGCTTAAAGTATTCAATCACTGAGATAGGGACTTCAGAGACATGAAGTGTGACATACCAGCCAACCTGCCAAAAAGAAAGTAGAAAATAATCATTTACCCTTAAGGTCTCGACAATGATGAAGCATTTCTCCAAATATGTCAGAAGTCTCTTAAACTACCCTAAAGCCCATCCTCACCCTTTAAAACTGCCTTTCACAGATGCCTCAACTACACAGATTAAACTTTTCAGTTAACATCTGATACCTCTTTGTTCTCAATATCACTCTCACCAGTGACTCAGTGGCTCCTCTAATTCAGCTATGGGCAGCACAAAACTAAATAAGGTACTCATGCCAAGAGGAGGAATAAAGGAGAGGGCACCTTGGCAAACAGCAAATTACAGGGATGGACAAAGTAAGGCAGATACCTCAGCTCCTTCAACCTCTTTTTCTTCAATTTCTTTAAAAATGCGTTTCCTAGTATTAGTAAAGTTCTGAAACTGAAAGATCCGAGCATAATCTTGAGGAAGGTTTTCCTTAGGATCCCATGGAGATGTCCGGAAGCTCTTGAGGCCTCTGTATTTCTGAAATCTAGATAAAGAAGATTTTAAAAAATAGTCAAATTTATATGGTGCTACTTTTTCACTCAAGTCACTTCTAAAATGGCTAAGACTCTAACTTAAAAAAATTCTCCCACTATCTCTCAAAATAATTTAACAGCCTAAAACCACACTCCAAAACAACTCATAACAAGTATTTCAGAACCAAACCCCAGCCCCTCACTGATAAAGGACAAAGTACTTAGAGTGGCTCCTTCAGGGAGTGGCTCTTTAACCTGGCAAACAAGGTCCTTGACAAAAATATTACATCCCTAATATCCAATGTAAACCCTCTGGCTTTAATTAGACTCATCTCCAGGGAAGACATCATCTACATCTTCACGCTTTTATTCTTGCCCAAACTCCCTCAAATCCCCAAAATGTTTTATACTTTCAGTATTAGCTCCTATAGGAAGCACTTGCCGATTAACCTTAGTATTTCCCCTTCGTTAAAGTACTGTGACATTGTTAGTCTGCACCACACAGTCTGGAACTTGATTACATATTACTGTTTCTGTATGTATGTCTTACCTTCCCATATAGAATGTTAGCCCTTCAGAAACGGGGACAATGTGTTGTGTTTTTTTTTTATCACACTGACACACTTCTGAGCCACGTGAATTTTAAATAAAAACACTGATTTTAGACTTGTTGACTAACCGAATTCTTGCAGCCACATCACGGGGGGTATCTACTTCATCTGGAAACATCTCTTGCAGTCTTTCTTGTTTATATTTCTCCAACATTTTTTCTTCAGCCTCTTCATCCACATTCTCATCATACAGATCATCATGCACAGACTCTCCTATAGTCATAGTTTCACATTCTTCCTCCTCTTCCTTTTCACTGCTCTCATCCTATAGAATAAAGATTACAGTTTCACACCCGTCTCTACCCTAAAGACCATTAAACTATAAGTAAATTAGTTTTACTAGACACCTAGTCAAAATCAGTATCAATTCTAATAGAGATTAAGTTATAAAAGAAAGTCTCACTTCTGGCAGCTCTAAGTCATTCCTAGGAAACTGATCACACACAACCCTCAAGGTCAGGATTGCACTTTGCCTTGCATTTGGGGCTGTACGCAGAAGTGGCCTAAGGATTCATATCTTTACCTGAGATTCCTCTTCAATAAAATCCTCATGTTCTGTATCATCATATTCATCTTCCCCACCACTTTCACCATCCTCATCCAAAATCCATTCAGCTTGGTAACTGGATGTCCCTTTGGGAACCTTCTTTACCACCTTGGAACTTTCCTTCAAGCAGTCTGTAGAAGCCCAAATGAGTTAAGTTAAATTATATACCTCTGGGAACCTGGGTGGCTCAGTCAGGTGAGCATCTGACTCTTGATTTTGGCTCAGGTCATGATCCCAGGGTTGTGAGATTGAGCCCTGCGTCGGGTTCAGCACTGAACATAGAGACTGCCTAAGTTTCTCTCTCTTTCCCTTTTCCCCTCCACCCCTCTTACGCACTCTCTTAAAAAAGTATATACATACAGGGGTGCCTGGGTGGCGCAGTCGGTTAAGCGTCCGACTTCAGCCAGGTCACGATCTCGCGGTCCGTGAGTTCGAGCCCCGCGTCAGGCTCTGGGCTGATGGCTCAGAGCCTGGAGCCTGTTTCAGATTCTGTGTCTCCCTCTCTCTCTGCCCCTCCCCCATTCATGCTCTGTCTCTCTCTGTCCCAAAAATAAATAAACGTTGAAAAAAAAAAAAATTTAAAAAGTATATACATACATATACTTACATATACGCACACACGTGTATACACATACGTACACATACACACCTTTCCCCTATTACTCCCGTATTCTCACCTAGGCAAGATGATACCAGACATTGCTACCAACACCAGAAACTCTAGCAGACACTATGAGTAGAACAGACTACTTCCAAATTTAATTCAGCTGCCTCAGAACTAGCGACACTTACACAGCCCAATAAGCTTTGCAACAAATCAAAGTTGTTTATCTGTTTATGAGAAAACAACAACACAAGTAATTTTGAAAAATGGAGCAAAGCTATGTCCAATGTTTGCTTGGTGCAAACATACAGCCTTTAGAGATAGAGGGGAAAACTAACCTCCAAATACATCTCATCCCACCCTACCCTGTGCGCAGCTAGAGAAAATGCACAATTCTAGGCCATATGAAATACAAACAAGTTTGCCAATACCAACCATTTGCCTCATTCAGTTCCTCCTCTGTGGGCCAGGTTTGCTCCCCCTCCATTGGATCTGGGATAACCTCTGTTTGCAAAGATTCTTGTCTTTCAGGGTCTGCCTTCATTAGGACCTTAAGGTCTTCCTCCATATCAACCACAGCATCCATAGCACAAATCTGAAAACCAGAATAGTTGACACCAAACGTTACCCAAAATCTACTAAATCTAACATGGTAACCAAAAAGATTCAGAAATAACACAGTCCTCAAAATAAATAAATAAAATAAAATAAAAACAGAATGAAACAGTGAGCCCAACTGGTCAAATCTTTCAACCATTTCAATTTCCTAGCATTTTAGTCCATACCTCTACTTGCTTTTGAGGCCTTTCATAATCTGCTCTCACTCCTACACATTTATTACCTACCTTACTCCCATTAAGCTGATTTCTTCAAAGAAACCATCTGATCTATCCCTGGGACTAAATTCATGTTGTCTCTATCTTCTTCGACAGTTTCATCTCTCTTCATCTCATAAGTCATATTCATCCATCTCAACACCTGGCTCAAGTCTGAGCTCTTCTGTGAAGCTTGCTAGTCTACTTTCTCAACTTACACAGCAGGTCTCTATCCCTCAACCACACTTTTTCAATCTTTGATGTTTGCCATTTTTTCTGATGTAATTAGGCTGTCCAAGGAAAGAGACTGCATCTTGTGTCTTTTATACACTCAAAGCCAATTGCTATGTGAGGTACCTATAAAGTGCTGAATACAGGATATCAACATATTCAGTTGACTACTGTCTTACTTCAAACTAGCAGTCACCTCCAGAAGCTAGTATAGTTGTCTAAGAGTGCAGACTACCTCCTCTGATGTTATTCACATCCTACACCAGTTTACACATAAATCTACAAGTCGTTTAAAAAACATTTAATGTTTACTTATTTTGAGAGAGAGAGAGAAGGAGAGAGAGAGAGAGAACGAGTGGGGAAGGGGCAAAGATAGAGGGAGAGAGAGAAAATCCCAAGCTGGCTCTGTGCCATCAGCGTTGAGCCTGACACAGGGCTCGAGCTCACAAATCGTGAGATCGTGAGCTGAGCCGAAATCAAGAGTCAGACGCTTAAGCGACTGAGCCACCCACGCACCCCTACAACACATAGTTTTTAAGAACATCACTCTTACCTCCATTGCAGCTCCAGAGTCCTGTGATTTGACCACTCTAGGATTTAAAAGGAAAGGGTCTATAGGAGCATCTATCTGTTTCATCTGGAAATCACCCTGTCCAATGATATGCAGCAAGCTATTTACATTCAAAGTCTGTCCACGAATATAGCCTGAGATTTTCAAGGTGCCCACCAAGTTATTTTCTTCACTAGGCACAAAGTCAGCAGCATGAGCAAACATGTAGGCCCGTCGATCTCGAAAGGCAAGATGTCGTTGCTTTTGGTTAGCCAACTGCCTGAGCAGCATCTGTGCCTCCTGTTGTGTGTCTAACAGGAGAAGTTTGTCATCAGGAAAGCGCTTCTCCACTGCTTTACTTAGCTTCTTTCTGGCATCTATTTGTTTCCTTGGTGGGAGGCCAGAAATCCCCTGGACAGCTAGTGCTGTGAGCAAGAGAGAAAGGGCTTTGTTACTTACTTTACCACATGTAAATCCCCACCGTAGTTCACAAACAAGCTAACAGTTCAGTTGTGAGACCAGAGATCACTGAGAAACTGAACACTGAACTACCCTAAAAAATTTTCATAGTGAAACCAAAGTTCATACTCTTCTTCCTCTGGGCAAAGAGTAGTCCAGAAATAAAAAGCAGCTTGATAGATAATTTCTAAATGATGGACCAACTTAAGCCATACATGTACAACTCGCCACCAGCCAAATACAACCCACCAGTTGTGTTCCTGTATCAAGTGTCAGACAGAGTGCCTGGAAAATTATAGATGCATAATAAATGCTAATTCACTTCCCCCCGTTACCTCTAATACTCCTAACTCACTTACTATAGGTAGGAAGGCCCTGGGCAAAAAGGCAGGAAAGGCAGTAATCCCCAGTGCTGTCCCAGCCTTCTAGTGGATCAAGGAGAAAAAGGATGGTATCCGCCACTTTAGCCATATCTAACACAGCGTGCAGATCCCCTGGAGATAAAAGACAAAGTTAGTGGGAAGAGGTGTTTGGCACCAGCACATCATACTAAAAGAATATTACTACTACTCAGAATACAACAATAGAAAACACTGTTGTATGCTCCAACCTGGCCTTGCAGATGTGAAATACCACCGATGTTTCAAGCGGGGGCATAACAGCACAAAGCTATGGGTGCTTCCCCACTCATTCAAGTGTACTGTTCCAGTGTCCTTATCCTGAAGCAGCCTAAAGGCCTCTGGCAAGGAAATCCTGTCATGCAGAGGCACTACCAGCACCTGATGAGGAGGACCATCCTTGCTGCCCAGCTGTCTTTTCTCTGACAGAACCTGAGAATAGAAAGATCAATGTTCCAGTACTTCATTTCAGTATTGCATTTCCCATAGTATGGACGCCCCTTCCTTACCCCCCACTCCCCACTCCCAGTCCACCGCATCTTTCTTGTAAAAGGCACGTAGGCCGGGAGAGTGGGCAGAAGCCTGCACCAAAACAAAGAATGTCCTAGCATGAATCTAGATCTGCATGCCTGACCTGTGCCCGAGAATTATTTTTCCATCTCCGGCCCCTTCCCAGGGTCACATTTTTCAGTTCGAGGCATTACCGCCTAGAACAGCTGTGAAACCACACCACTCCCCAATCCCTGCTCCTCTCACCGCCTCCTTCTTCTGCTTTCGGAGCTGGCTGGCGCGATGCCTCTGGTCTACTCTGCTGAGCTCTTTTCTCACTTTCCTGCTTAGGACCTTCAGTGCTAGACGGCCTAGAAGATTAAAAAGGGCTCTTATGGGGGCGCCTGGGTGGCGCAGTCGGTTAAGCGTCCGACTTCAGCCAGGTCATGATCTCGCGGTCCGTGAGTTCGAGCCCCGCGTCGGGCTCTGGGCTGATGGCTCAGAGCCTGGAGCCTGTTTCCGATTCTGTGTCTCCCTCTCTCTCTGCCCCTCCCCCGTTCATGCTCTGTCTCTCTCTGTCCCAAAAATAAATAAA